AATTTTTTTATTTGATGGCTATCTAATCCGTATGGTAAAATTTTACTGAGTAGTTAACCATATTAGCATACCATGGAATTCGTTATTCAATAATCACATATAACTGTTCATCAGAAAAATCTTCATTTATTTCATCATTAAAGTTCAAATTATTTTCATGTTCAAGCCTTGACAAATGGTCAGCTATTTGATTATCAATACCCTTCCTATCCGCTATCTGAAAATCAAATTCTTTCATTAAAAGGACCCATCTAATTAATCGTGGTTTTGCATCTTTCTTCATCATTAAATATTTAATAGCAAAATAATTAGTATGCATGATAAATTTAGCTCCAATAAGATAAGGTTTAAATTTATCAAAAGCATACACTATGACTAATAATTCATTTTTAGTAGTGGTGTAATTAATTTCAACATCATTAAGGGTTATACTAGCATAGTATATCACGTTAAAAGTTTTATCGTATCTTTGCCCAAATGCAAGCCCTATAGCTTAATCACTAGCATCATACATTAATTTAAATGGTTTTTCTCATTCAGGTGAAACAATAATAGGAGCAGTGATTATTTTTTCAACAACTTCTTTCATTATAGGTTTCAATCTCTTTTAAGGATCAGCCTTATGCTTATAATTATCTTCCATCATAATTCTATGCATACATATTGAAGGGCTAATTCCTTTAATATCAGCTAAAACAACTTATCTCGTTCTCCTCCCCAAACAAATCCCTTGAAGTTCCTTTGAATCACTTTCTCTCTTTACAATAACACTCAATTCTCTCTTAGAATTGTAATGAAGAATTGTAATGAAGAATTCCTTCTCTTCTTACAACGTTTCATTTTTTTCTGTTGCATTAGTAAAAACTAAGTTGAGGAGGCTTTAAAGAAAACTAAGGGTAGAAAGTCTGTAGGACCTGATGATATCCTAATTGAAGTGTGGAAATATTTAAGAGATTTGGGAGTTTCATGGCTTACTAAACTCTTTAATGTTATTTTAAAAACTAAAAAGATGCACAAAGAGTAGAGGAAAGTATTTTGGTCTCCATTTTTAAGAATAAAGGGGATGCACAAGAGTGTGCAAATTATAGATGAATTGAGTTGATGTGTCATACTTTAAAATTGTGGGGGAGGGTAATTGAACATAGGTTAATACATATTACAAAGATTTTTCATAGTCAAATTGGTTTTATGTCGGGCAGGTCTAGCATGGAAGCTATACATTTATTGAGAGGTTTAATGGAGAAGTTCAGAGATAATAAAGAGGATCTACATTTGATTTTTTATTGATTTAGAAAAAGCTTACGATAAGGTTCCAAGAGAGGTCCTTTGGAGCGTTCTTGAAAGAAAGGTGTTGATAGGACTTATATTCAAGTCATTAAAGATATGTATACTAGAGTTGTTACTTGTGTTTGAACTGAAGGAGGATTGACCAAATATTTTCCTATTTATGTTGAATTACATTAGGGATCGGCTTTAAGCCCATATATTTTTGCTTTAGTTATGGATGGTCTTACTGGATATTTACAGAAGGAAGTACCTTGGTGTATACTTTTTACTGATGATATCCTTCTTGTGGATAAGACAAAAGAAAAAACACAGGAAAAACTTGAATTATGGAGTTATACATTGGAGTCTAAAGGCCTTCATTTGAATAGAACTAAAACTGTATACATGGAATGTAATTTTAGTAGTAGTAGTAGCTTTGGTGACAGAAGTGTAAGTTTGTGTGATCAAATTATGAAAATGTGTGAAAAATTTATATATCTCGGGTCTATTGTTCATAGCGATGGTGATATAGATAGGAATGTTAATAGTAGAGTTCAAGTTGGTTGGTTGAAATGGAGGAATGCTTCGGGCATTTTGTGTGATAGAAAAGCATGGCTTAGACTGAAAGGAAATTTTCATAAGAGGGTGGTGGACTTGCAATTCTCTATGGCGCTGAATATTGGCCTTTAAAAGAGAAGAATAATACTAAGTTAAGTGTTGTCGAGATGAGAATGATTAGGTGTATGAGTGGCTTTATACTTAGAGACAAAATGCGAAATGAATATATCTAGGATAGGGTTAGCGTAGCTCCAATGACAGACAAAATTAGAGAGAGTCGTCTTAGATGATTTGGTCACATTAAACGTCGACCATCTGATGATCCTATTAGAAGAGTAGATTTTTTAGATTCGACTTATGTTAAGAAAGGCAGAGGTAGACCTAGGAAGACTTGGGCTTTTTGTATAAAAAATGATCTTAATTTATTAGAACTAAATGAAAATATGACACTAAATAGGACTCAAAGAGAAAAAGGATTCATGTATCCGACCCCACGTAGTGGGATTAAGGCTTTGTTGTTGTTCTTTTTGTTTTTCATTGGAGATATTATACGCCCATGCCCGAGACAGGTAAAATAGAAATAAATATATATCATTTTAATAAATGATGTTCATGACAAAGTTGCGTCAAGTCCATCAAATAAATATTCTTGCTTTCTTATATTACTCTTTATTATACAAGGGCAATATTATAATTTTATTTTTTATAATATAATTTAGTTTGGAAAGCCATGTATAACCTGCAGTAGTACAAGTTGGATAAAATTATAAGGCCGACTTGGTTGGGGGAGATCTGACTGCTCCAAAATAAAGTTTAAGAGCATTAAGTCATAGATGTATAGAATTAAGCCCGGATGTTTTATTGTAGATCCTGAGAATTGGATTGAAATTTATGTTGCTTTAGTAGGTTCTTAAGGATCATTTAAGAACTAAAATAAATCTATTTATAAAATTTATAAAATAGATTTTTATATCTATTTTATAAAATTTCTTAAGATTTCTTAAGCTTCGAGAAAAAAATATATTTTTTAAAACTAAAATAAATCTATTTATTTTTAAGATTAGGATCTATCAAAATGAATTATATTTTACATAATATTAAAAAAAACTTAAAAAAAAAAGATTTAATCTTTTGTTCCATTCCGTAATCAACTTATAAATAATTAAAATCCCATTCATTCCCAACACTTCCCCTCAAGCAACAAAAACAACTAAAACTTAAAACGTAAGAATACCATCATACCATCCAATTTGTATCTATTTAAATCTAACACTTGAATTGCATTTCTTTGAATTTATACCACAAAATATTTCTTATTCTCATCTTATCTGCCAAATATATAAAATATAAGTATAATTTGGATTAATAACTAATCGAATTAAAATAAACCACTGATATAACTATAATTTAGAAATTAAGAGCACTTTAGAACCTGATCCAATTTTAATTAAAAGCACTTTAATTATAGTTCCGCCCAATTTTACAAAAGATTTTATTTCCATATATAAAGCACTAATTTGATTCAACTGTAATTAAGAGCACTTTAGTTCCGCCCAATTTTAAAATAGATTTTCAAACACATTTTATTTCCATATATAATACATATAACTTCGATTTTCAAACAGAGTATTTCCTTAAATATAAATTTATCCGTTGCCTCATTCTTGGGGAGCTCCTATATATAACATCATACCTTTAATCCGTGCTTCACTCATTCTCTCCCACTCATCAACTCACTGTTTCTCTCTTCCACGCACCATCGCCCATCCTTCTCCAACAGTCTTCCCCTGTTTCTTCGGCTCCAACTATGGCCACTACAATTTGGGCGGCGCAGCAAATAGATGATACTGTCCTACTCACTTCCACTTTGGGCTATTCTTTACCGGAGACGAGGCGGATGAGAGCTGCTCCGTGGCTTATTATCCCATTTCATGCTCCAACAATACACACTCCTACAATTTGGCTGGATCATTCTATCATAATCACTCACACTTGGGACTATCATTCTCCGGAGACACAGGGGATGAGACCTTATCCCACACCACGGAGGCCTCCTCGGAATCCTCATTATCCTCCTCCAGGTACATAAATCTTTCATGACATTTTTTGGTTTCTCGCTTTCTCCATTCCCTCTCTTTATTTAACTTGCGTTATATCTGCATTTAATTATTCAATAATGTGTACATCTATAGGATACGAGATTCCACCTCGTATGCGGCATCCACTACGCACGAACACACAGAGGCCCGTAGCAGTTGAAGCCATTTCTTACACTCACGAGATACCAGAGCAACAGGTGATAGATAGATATGCAATTTATGAGCTCTTTAATAAAGATTTTTATTAATTAGTTGGAATAATCTTATTTAATTTCTTTTTAATTTACAGTACGAAGAAAATCTAAGTCGAACAGACGGCAGCGGGTTGTCAACAGATTGCATATTTGAGTTTTTGATGGGTTGTTTGGGCTGCCCAACAACGGAAAATGAGATTTGCACCATATGTCAGGTACCTTTTTTTTGTACCTATCATTTACCTAATGAAATATAAATTAATTTTTTATGTGTTTTATTGATCAAATAAAGGATGAGATGCAAGCGGAGGAGAAAATGGTGACTTTGAGTTGCAGTCATATGTATCACTTGAGATGCATCGAGAAGTGGCTCAGGATTAAGAATGAATGTGTTGTCTGTAGAGCTTCAGCCATATAGAATACTGCTGATTACGGAAGTATTAGGATAGCACTCTATATTTTTTTAGATTTTGATGATGTATCAAAAAGGTTTATTTGGAAACTATTAGATACTTTGTGTTTTTTTTTCTCTTTGAATGAGTTGTGCAATATTACTCCGTACATATATGTTTTGAGTGAAAATTGGGTATGACATTCTTTTCATTTGCACGTGTAAGTTGTTTCATTTATAAAATTCGGACAAAATGATCTCTCTGGCAAAAAAGAAAAAAAATAATTAGATATATTTGAAGTAATATATGGGGCAAATATCAACAATTTTATTTTATAGAAAAATATTAAAAAAAAATATTTTCTCCTCAAACCTCTCTTCTAATATGGTAGCTCAACAGGCTCCATGAACGTGGGATATTTCTAAATTGTAAGGAAAAGTAACGGCTACTTGAACACAGTGCAACCATACTCAATTAACAGGTCAAAAATATGGTGAGATAATTGAATCAAGATTGAAATTAGCAGAACAAGTACAACACAGACTATATATCTATCTACACACTACAACACACCACAAGAAATACACATCACGCCTTCTTCACATGTTTCTAGAGTTAAAAAGAATCTCATACTTACTCCCCTCGATATGTTCGCAAGAACACCCTAACCCTAAGCCAGAAATAGAAGAATATTTAAGCACAGAGGTTACTGAAACTATTTTTCATGGAGAAGTCAGCACTAGATCGTTCCCTGAGGAGAAGGTAGTAGCAGCGTCTTCTTTCGCTATTGCGACGTAGTTTGCAGGGGCTGAAAGCCGGTTGTCTCTCTTACCGTCCCTACTGACAGATCTTACGCCATTGTTGCTTCCATGATGATGATGAGTGTTCAGTCTGCGACTAAGCGTGTGGTTCGATGAGCCTCCATTAGCACGAGGAACGACCATTTTTTTCATGCTCGATGATCGCACAGGGCTCGGTTTTGAGCCAAATAAGGCTTCTTGTTCTGTAGTGAGTTGTTCGTGGAAGCGCTTCTGGTCCTGGAATGAAGTTGACAATACGAAAAAGTAATTCTTGCCATCTATATCATACTTCTCTTTTTCTTTTTTTTTTGGAAAATTTATATACATACCGTTTGATTCCTATGTTTTACATATATGTCAACTTGCCTTATAAATGAAAAAGTGTAGTTCATTTTTTTGAGATATTTTTGATGTGATGTAAAAGAATGGGTGATATTAATAATAAAAGCAAAGTTCATGTGTTGTTAGATATGCAAATACATAGGAATTAGGTGGTTTACGTATATGTCCCTGCAGAATTTCAACATATCTATTTGGAAGATTTACATAAATACCACATAATTTCTGTATTTATATATCTAATACCAAAACTTTAACTTTTACATACATTCCACCTTAATCATGCAAGAAAAAAAGTGCATTTCACCTTTTTTTTAAGTTAAAATAGTGATATTTTTGATGTGATATGAAAGATTTGGTGGGTATAAATGTAAAAAGTAGAGTATAGGTGTTAGATATGTAAATAGGAAAGAATTGAGGGGCGTGTAAGAACAGACAAATGGAATATTTACCCTCTGTCGGCGCTTCTCTTCCTCCCTGTCATGCCTCAGCATGGTGTACTCATCAAGCATGGCGAGAAGGGAAACACCATCATATGTAAACTGAATCCCATGAGCTTCCTCCCATGCTCGAGTCTTGGACACTAGAGTTTCTACAAGGCCTAAGAAAAATCAAAAGTATCAATTTATAGATACTGCATAATAAATTAACTAAGGCCCATTTGGGATCACTTCTATTATTTTTATTTTTAAGTTATTTTTTTTATGTTTTTACTTGAAAAAAATAATGTTTAGTTGTTCTCAAAGTGTTTTGAACGTTTTTAAAAATAAGCTAATTTATTTTTAAAACAAAAATAAAAAAAAATGCATTAATTTTTTTTGTTAACTATGTAACACATTAGTAAAGTAGAGGGCTTTGTGTAGGAGAATTTACCTCTATGGCACTAAGAATTTTCAAATTTTTTTAATGTTTGGCTAAATTTAAGTTAAAAACATGACTGAATACTATTAATAGCACGCTTTTAATTTTTCTTTTATTATCCAAAAATTACAACTCTTAGTTAAATAACACTCTCTTTTACTCTTAGCAGTAAAATCACGAGTAACTTCATCGCCCATTCCTCCCGCCAGAGCAGCTCTTCTTTCGCTTTAAATTAATTTGCAGTAGACGTTGTTATTATTCTCAGCCAGAGAAGTATTATTTGTTATTCTGAGTTGACATTATTAGTATTGGACCACAACAACAATTTCTTCTGCTTATAGTAATAGTAGTCCTGTCTGTTAATTATTATCAATTCTTTTAATTTTATTATATTTTTCGGCTGCCCAAAGTATTTCTTTATAAAAATAGGGGGTGTCATATTATTTAAATATAAGTAAAAATAGAATTGTATTCTACACACAATCTAACCATGATAAATCTATAGAGACAAAAACAATAATTATTCCTTTGAATTGCATTTTTTGTGAGCTGATGTTTCTTTTCGGTTTTATACTTCTTTCGCTCGCTGCATAGGTTTTGACTATCCCTTAACACATCATAATTATATCTTATATCATTGTAATCATCATTAGCCTTATCCCAAAAATAGTTGACTTTATCAATTCTCATTTTACTATGTCGTATGTTTTTACTATTTTTTTTTTCTTCACAATCTTTTCAAATTAATATATTATCTGCTTGTCATATTGCTGCATCTTCAAGCCTCTACTACAATGCCCAAACCAACTATAGAAGTTAAATTATCAATAATTTATCTTCGATAGATGCTACTCTCACTATTTTCCAAGCGTAAAATTTTCATTCTATTACATCCCTCTTAATTTTAACAATTGCACACATTCATTTTAATGTTCTCATTTATCATAGATAAGTTGGCTATTAATGACTTTTTATTTCACAAAACTCAAATCTCTATAGCATTGTTGGTCAATTATAATTTTATAAAATTAACCATAATGTCTAAATGACATTCTCTAATCACTTCACTATTTTAACTACCTGATTAATCTCTAAAATTTACATTTTTACCCATATATTCAAATAAGGCAGTAACAAAAAGGCCAGGGAGAGATCCCAACATCCAAAATATATCATATATAACTAACAAAAATCTAAAATGGCATAAAAATATGTAATCTTGGGAAAATGTCATTACCCTGTTGTAGTCATCGAGCCAGCTCTCTTCTTCGCAAGCAGACATCCATTTCTCAACTTTTTCCAATATCTCCCTTCTGTTCAACGCTTCCTCCTTTGCTTTTAATATTTTATCATCCATTTCAACAAATAATTCGGAAGGCTCGACATTCCCAAACTCGATCAAAGCCACAATCTTCTTCTCTGCTTCCGCTGAATCAAAATCCATGTGAGCATGGGCATATATCTCTTCAAGTTCAGCTTGTTTTTTCATTGCTATTTCTTTCATTCTGCTAGCCTTCAGTTTATCTAACCTCTCCACTTCCTCTTCAGCCTTAAGAAAAGAGAAAATTAAGACGAATAATAACTGTAAGAAAAGTTCAGTTTTTTAGGGCTTCTTTGGGATCAACTTTGTTGTTTTATTTTTGTGTTTGTTTTGTTCTTAAAACACATCAGTTTAGTGTGTTATTCATATATTTTTATTTTTTGTTTCTAAAAATAAAGTAACGTGTATTAGAAAAAACTAAAAACAACTTTTAGTTGCTTTGAGTATTTTAAAAATAATCACACCTTAATCAAATATGTCAAATATATTATATTTCAAATCAAAACATAAGCAAAAAAAAAATAAAACAAAATATAAAAATATAAAAAATAAAAGTGATCTCAAATGAATCAAGAGGCTTTTTTGGGATCAATTTTGTTTTCTTTTTTACTTTCATTTTTAAAATATATTTGCTTAGTGTATTTTTTGTATATTTGTATTTTTAATTTCTAAAAACAAATTAACATGTTTTAGAAAATACTCAAATAATTTTTAGTTGGTATGGACATTTTTTAAATACAACCATATTTTAATCCAAAATGTCAAACATGTTTTGTTTTAAACCAAAATATAAAAATAAAAAATAAAAAACAAAATGGTCCCAAACAGCCCCTAAGTGACCAAAGCATCGTAACCTGCCAACCTGTTCAATTATATCAAGTGCGAGGGCTCCAGGGACAATGACCTTGTCCACGGTAGCAGATATATTAGAGGTAATGTGGCGGAATAATTCGCGCTCTTCAGAGGAAGTATCCATCAGATTCCAAAGATCAGTGAGCCGAGCAGCCAACACTTGAAGCTGGAACCAGCCAAAAAAAGTGAATTTAGTGAAACCGTCATAGTTCAGACTTCAGAAGCAGAAACTACAATACTCAATGATAGTTGAATCTCAAGAAATAAAGAATCCTATATAAGTTTAAGATCTAATTTCTAAATTTCAGCTTTGAACTTAGCTTCCACGGTCAGCTTGAATGTCTGTTTCAGTATGAATATATAGACCCTATAAATTACTATGGAAGTTAGATATCAGATTATACTCTAACAAAATGGCCTAATTTTAAAGTAGATGCACAGCAAAAAGCATGATTTATGTAGGTAAGACTAAAATATTCATAAAGAAAATGATATCAAATTAATGTCAGCTCAAATGCAGTACAATAATTTAGTTCCCTGATCTACTTTGAGATATTTAAGAAACAAACTTAAAGCTGAATGGAAACATTTTAAAGTAGTCTATTGAGGACAGGTAAATAGCTTGAAAATAAATTTAATCTTCTAATAAAATGTAACAAAAAATTAATTAGCCTATGAAGTAAATCATCACACATCTGCCCAGTAAATGAATCACCATGGAAAGATAAGAGGTTGTTTGGTTGCAAGTAATTAGAAATTAGGTGCATTATCTATACAATATAAAATTACATTTGAAATACTCGAGATTGTTTGTTTGATTTTAAATTAAATTTGAGAAATCATTTTTTTTGTATTTGGTTGGAAGCAAAGTAATTCAAATGTTTCTAGTTTTTCAATCACTAAGATGCATGAGGACGGGCTCAAAAGACGAACAATTTAAAATTCTGTCTTTAGATGAATTTTAAATCCCTAAAAAAATTTATTTGAGGCATTGAAATCTTTTTAAAGAAATATTTAGAATTTCTTTTACGCTTAAATAAACATCTTAAAACCCTATATTTCAAAAGCAATACGCTACTCAACATACACAATCAAAGAGCCCCTAAATAAAGAACAGCCATGTCCGTGAAAACCGAGTTGTATATTTAGCGCATATTTTAAGCGAGAGTTTTGGAAAGAAAAAACTAAAAATTGACGAGTCATGGAACCAAACCAAGGGATAAGGCTCATGATGGTGGCTATAATTTTGTGAGGTCAAATCATGTTTTCAAGTATAAAGGTCTCTGCATTTTTAATAAAATTTATATTAGAAATGATAGATAAAATCATGGTTTAGTCAGGCATTTCATCACCATTCAGTTGCATTAATAATGTTGGGATATCTTTCATAATAGTAAATCAAACTATTGGTAGATTCTAACAGGGGTGACATTAGAAAGCATACAAGTACTTTCTGGTTTATCAATTATCATCACCCTCCATTTTTTAACCAAAAAGATGAGAAGAAAAGCCAGAAAGGGCCACAAAATTTACCCAAAAAAAAGTGTCATACAAACAAAATTCTACCAATTAAGTCTTGCCATTAGATTTTCTTGCCAAGTATATCAATGCTCAATGAAATGAGAGGTGGCAGATATTAATCGGAAAGGGGAAATATTTCATGAAGATACCATTTACATCCATTGATTCTATTATCAAGCTCTAATATGAATAAAAACCAAAATAAGCAATTTAAGTGAAATAGGGAAAACAACCATTAAGTTGCTACAATGGTGACTAACATTTTTGTGTTGAATCGTAAACACAATCCAAAATCCAATTGGAAAGAGAGACTAAGACGATTAAACAATATGTCAAATAACTCTTTTAAGAACCCCGCACAAATAAAAGCAATACAACACTGTTGAAAAAGATAAAATTTGGTCGAAGGCAATAACAACAAGAAGCCTTTGTCTCACAAAGTGGGTCTGTCTACATGAATCATTTTTCTCCGTTGCGTCCTATCGAGTATCATATTTCATTTAATTATAACAAATTAATATCATTTTTATGCAACATGCCCAAGTCTTCATTAGGCCTAGCTCTACCTTTCTTAGCATAGTCAAATTTGAAACATCTACTCTCCTGACCGGGTCATCAGGTGATTGGTGTTTAACGTGACCAAACTATCTAAGACGGCTAATCTAATCTTGCCTGTCACTGGAACTACTCCAACCTTGTCACAGATACATTTGTTTTGCATTTTGTCTCTGTAAAGCTACTAATCCACCAAAGCATTCTCATCTCAGTAACACTAAACTTTATGCTTCTCTTTTACATGCCAACATTATGTGCCATAAAGCATTGTAAGTCTCATCACCATCTTATAAAATATTCCTTAAGTCTAAGTGGTACTTTTCTATCACATAATAGGACTGGTGCATTTCTCCACTATAACCATCCAACTTGAATTCTACTAATGGCATCCCCATCAATATCACTATCACATTGAACAATAGACCTGAGATATTTAAAACATTCACTCCTTTTAATGACCTGATCACCAATTGTTACATCCCTGCATTAGATCTACTTCTACTAAAATTACATTTCATGTATTCAATTTTATATCTACTCAAATAAAATCCATTGGATTCTAAAGTTGACTTCCATAAATCAAGTTTCTCCTATACTCTCTCTCTATCCACAAGAAGATTATCATCAGCAAAAAGCATACAAAAAGGTACATCCTCAAGTATATGTTTGGTAAGAACATCCTTAAATAAAGGAAAAAAATATGGACTTAAAGTTGATCACTGATGTAATCCAACTGAAATTGGAAAATGCTTGGCCAATTTTGTTAAAGGCATGAAAATATAATGACTTCGACATTTGTTAGTTCTTGCTCTGTAACAAAAACTTGTGTCTATTCCAAAATCCAATACACCCCAATTAACAAATGACGGCCTTCATAACAATCATACAATGCAACTCAAACAAAAAAGCCAAAAATGAAGGATAAATGATGTAATGCCATCCTAATCAGTTTGAAATGCTTTGACAACAATTCAAGTCACTCAAGCATCGCACATGCCAAAAAGCATGCTATGCAAATGTACTCAAAACATCTCAATTACCAAAAAAGACCTCCCATTAATGATTTGACTGAATGAGATAAAATTTAAGAATAGAAGAATCAATTGCATTAATCAAGCATAATAACCATTCATACAATTGGTTCAGCAAAGAGAAAAAATAATATTATAATTTAATAATAATACTCACCTCAATCACAACATCGTTTCCTCAATTAGTGCCTTTCGCATGACCTCAAGGATCGCCTAATTCAAATCATAGCTTTCTTTTAACTCAAATTTTTCTTATTAAATATTACCTCAAATAGAATAAATAACCAATAAACCTGTACTTCAAAGGCTCGGTTGCCTCCCTGCACACAAGGTTCTTCAAATTTTAAACATATATAGTTTGAATCCCGATTTAATTAACCATACCATTAGCATTTAATAATTTAATCATATGTATTAAATTAATAAATTAACATACTAAAGCCCTAACTCACCTTAAGCTTCTCTCATTTGATTTCGGCCCCTCAAAACTACGCATGTGAAGCCTATGATATCACCACTTACACTTAAAACTTCCTACCCGCACACTTCTTATTGGTGACCAAACCATCTAAGACGGCTAATCTAATCCTGTCTGTCACTGGAACTACTCCAACCTTGTCACAGATACATTTGTTTTGCATTTTGTCTCTGTAAAGCTACTAATCCACCAAAGCATTCTCATCTCAGTAACACTAAACTTTATGCTTCTCTTTTACATGCCAACATTATGTGCCATAAAGCATTGTAAGTCTCATCACCATCTTATAAAATATTCCTTAAGTCTAAGTGGTATTTTTCTATCACATAATAGGACTGGTGCATTTCTCCACTATAACCATCCAACTTGAATTCTACTAATGGCATCCCCATCAATATCACTATCACATTGAACAATAGACCTGAGATATTTAAAACATTCACTCCTTTTAATGACCTGATCACCAATTGTTACATCCCTGCATTAGATCTACTTCTACTAAAATTACATTTCATGTATTCAATTTTATATCTACTCAAATAAAATCCATTGGATTCTAAAGTTGACTTCCATAAATCAAGTTTCTCCTATACTCTCTCTCTATCCACAAGAAGATTATCATCAGCAAAAAGCATACAAAAAGGTACATCCTCAAGTATATGTTTGGTAAGAACATCCTTAAATAAAGGAAAAAAATATGGACTTAAAGTTGATCACTGATGTAATCCAACTGAAATTGGAAAATGCTTGGCCAATTTTGTTAAAGGCATGAAAATATAATGACTTCGACATTTGTTAGTTCTTGCTCTGTAACAAAAACTTGTGTCTATTCCAAAATCCAATACACCCCAATTAACAAATGACGGCCTTCATAACAATCATACAATGCAACTCAAACAAAAAAGCCAAAAATGAAGGATAAATGATGTAATGCCATCCTAATCAGTTTGAAATGCTTTGACAACAATTCAAGTCACTCAAGCATCGCACATGCCAAAAAGCATGCTATGCAAATGTACTCAAAACATCTAAATTACCAAAAAAGACCTCCCATTAATGATTTGATTGAATGAGATAAAATTTAAGAATAGAAGAATCAATTGCATTAATCAAGCATAATAACCATTCATACAATTGGTTCAGCAAAGAGAAAAAATAATATTATAATTTAATAATAATACTCACCTCAATCACAACATCGTTTCCTCAATTAGTGCCTTTCGCATGACCTCAAGGATCGCCTAATTCAAATCATAGCTTTCTTTTAACTCAAATTTTTCTTATTAAATATTACCTCAAATAGAATAAATAACCAATAAACCTGTACTTCAAAGGCTCGGTTGCCTCCCTGCACACAAGGTTCTTCAAATTTTAAACATATATAGTTTGAATCCCGATTTAATTAACCATACCATTAGCATTTAATAATTTAATCATATGTATTAAATTAATAAATTAACATACTAAAGCCCTAACTCACCTTAAGCTTCTCTCATTTGATTTCGGCCCCTCAAAACTACGCATGTGAAGCCTATGATATCACCACTTACACTTAAAACTTCCTACCCGCACACTTCTTTT